TGGGATGATGACTCAGCCTGGACTCTTAGGGAAGTGCCTGGACCCTGCCCTGAGTGAAATGACAGACTCTGGATATCCCCTATGTGGAAGGAAGTGGGGATAGGGTGGGAGGCTGGGGGGGGGGGATGGTGGAGGTTGCAGGAGGAGGGGAGGGAGAGAGAACTGGTATTGGCATGTGAAGCAAGCTATTTAAAATTAAAGTAATAAAAAAAGAAAAAAAAAAACTACCCATAAATATAACACCAGACAATCAAGCTGAGTTTTGAAAGGTTGTTACAAACAAACACTTGGAAGAAGCAGAGAGAAGACCAACTGGGAAAGCTGTGTGTGCCTCCTCACTGGAGATACGATGGTTGAATTAGACAATGACCACATCAATGGCAGATTTTTGCTTAAGGGGGTGAATTTGAGTTGTATTTTGGAAGCTAAAAGGGACTCAGCGAAGGAAGGAAGAGATTGTCATAACAGGGCAGCTCCCGATCTTAGTGGACTCTAGACCTTAGCACAACTGACTCCATGATGGAAGTGAAATTTAGGCTGTAAAATGCATCATAGACAGCACAAGCAGCTAAAATTAAAATAAATACCCAGTCCATCAAAGACCACAGTCCCGGGGAAGTCTCTCAATGCACTAACCTTGCTTTTTTGCTTCTGTAGTTTCACTTCTGGCTAACTGTTCTTGTTAACTGAAGCTTAATTGTTCTTGTTAACTGAAGTATGTCAACCCTGAACATGGTTTGTTGTGTTTTAAAGCTCATCATCAGAAAGGCTCGGGGCTGCACTGGGATCCTGAACACCCACCCGGAGTAGTCACTGGTAAGCTAATAAAGACTTTCTATTGACTTAAACCCATGTCCAAGCAATCTTCTCTGGTGACTACCCCACAGCAATGGTCACATTTGTTTTAGAAAGATTACTTTGGTAGGTGGAGATATATTGAAGAGAATGAGTTTTAAAAATAGAAACCAGTTAGAAGGAGATAGGAGTTCTATATGTGGAAACACAAAAGGAAACATGGAATGGACTGAAGGGAATTGAAGAGTGTCATACAGTAACTGAATTGGGTATGGAATGTCCCAAAGGGGAGATGATGCAGGATGACTCGCTAGTTTCTGACCTGGGAAGCTAAGAGGTTAGTGGCATTGTTAACTAAGAGAATTTAGAACTAGTAGCAAGTTTGGGAGGGATAGACTGTAAATTCGGTTCAACATATTAAACTGTCAACATATATGTAGTTCAACATATTAAAAATAGTCCTCCATGTAACAAAAATGGAGACCAGTTCACACTGCAAAACTAACTCTAAGATCAGCCTAACTCTGAAGTCACTGCATTGCACAACTATTGCATACTATAAAGGGTCAGGACTCAAGACAAATGTACAAATAGGAGAATGACTCCCTCTATTATGGTATTTCTCATCCTGTTCTCCCCCTATTCTACACCCCACTCAACCTTCCTGTTCCCCCATGACCTACTCTCTTCTCCTCTTCTCCCCCTCTCTTCTTCCCAGCTCCCACTCCCCTGCCGTGTTCCCAATCTGTTCAGGAGATCTTGCTTCATTCCTCTTCTCTGGGGTTACCACGCCTATCTCTCTTAGGTTCTCTCCTGTTTTTATGGATAGTTCTTAATTTCTGTTATTTTTAAAGACTTGCTTGTAATCCAATCAGAGTCTTCAAGGTCATTGTCCTGAAAGTTATGAAGATTCCTCCATCGCCTTTCAGGTTGAAAAGCTACGAGGAGGTGAAGCTGGAGTTCCTACCACTTGGAGGATGTGGGCTGACAGAGAAAATGTCATCAACATCAGAAGAAAGTAGGTATAAGGACTGGAGCAAGTTCACATGCAAGAGGGACAAACCAAGTCCCTAAATTATGGATCCTAAATTATGCTTGCTAAGGAATCTTTTCAGGTCATTTTCAATTGTCAGCTGATTAAATACACTGCCTATCCCTTCTCCCTTTCTGTGGTGCTGAGGATAAAGCCCAGGGTATCTTTTTTTTGCTTCAATATCACACAGTATGTTTATTTTAACATTAGTTCAGTAACAGAGAAACATCATTCTGAATACTGTACTTAAATCCCAATTTGAAAAGCAGGAAAAACCAAAAAGGCACCTTTTTGCAAACTAGAATTTCAAAGGTATGTGAACCATATAGCTTTCACACAATTCAGCCATACCAAGACCTGCTAGAAACAATAAACATGCTAGATCCTTCTTGAGAGTTACATGTAAAATGGTGCATGCGGAGGTCAGAGGAGAGTTTTTTGGAAGTCAGTTCTTTACTTCCTCTATGGGTTCTGGAGATTGAACTCAGGTTGTCATGTGCATAGCAAACACTTTTACTTGATGGGTTTCTGTTGCTGTGAAGAAACACCATGTGTAAAGAGAAACCTTTTTCTTGTCAGCTGCTTGGTTTTTCCCCACCAGTCGCCTGGGCTCTGCCACGTCGTAGTCCCCAAATAACACACAAGACGCTGTGTTAATTATGAAGCTGTTGGCCTTGCTTGTCTCTTACTAAGCCCAGGGTATCTTAAAAGTGCTGTAGCATAGGCCACACACCAGTTTCTACTGATCTTTTCCCCACTAAATTAGATTGATGATTTAGCTCTTATCATATTAGCTCTTAACAGTCCAAAGAGGTACACTAGGCTCGAAGATCTAGCATTACTGATATGATGGTGATTTTGACTGTGATGACATTGTATAAATTTGACATATCGATTTCATTGGGACTTTACAGGCTCTGTGCACTGTAGGTGTTAACACTTACACAAAGAATGGCATACTCATGGGCAGTTCGGATGTCTTAATTAGTACTGGAATGCACACAGAAAAATGTCGGCAAGTTCTTCGAAAGCTTATTTGTAATTTTATATCATTTAACCAAATGGTTCTCAACTCTGGATATACAGTGCAGTTATCTGGAGAACTTATAGAACGACTGATGACTAGGAACATCCCAGGCAAAGCAGACCAGAATCTCTGGTAAGTGACAAGCGTTGGTTTTATTCAAAGTTTCCCAGGTTTATACTTTTAGTAGGTGTGAGATTGTCAACTTTACAGATTGCTCTAGGAAATGAACCTCTGGGCAGGTCTTTACTTTTAGTGATTAGTAATAATAGGAAATAACTGGTGTGTAAGATGTGTATATATGATTTCAGGCATGTGCACACCATGGTGCGTGTATGGAGGTCAGAAGACAGCTTTTGGGAGTTGGTTTTCTTCTTTCATTGTGTTTTGAGGTGAGGTCTCTCTTGCTGTTTCTTTCACACTGCATACACACTTCGACTATCTGGTCCCTCAGCTTCAAGGCAATTCTGTCCCTGCATCCCATCTCACCATAGGAATGCTGTGATTACAGGTGTGTGCCACTGTATCTAGCTTTCAAATGTGTACTCCAGGGATCAAACTCCAACAGTCAGACTTGTGTGCCAAGCACTTTTACCAAGTGAGCCATCCATCCAGTCATGGCATGTCTTTGAGGGAGTTTCTAGACTGGGTTAATTAAGGTAAGTAAACCCTGATGCCAGACTATATGAAAGGAGAAAGGGAATTGAGCATCAATAGTTATCTCTCTTGGCTTCTTGATTGCAGATGCAATATAACTGGCTTCATCACCCTTCCCTGTCCGGTAGGACTGGCTGCACCCTCACCTCAAACTGTGAGCTCAAACAAACCATTCTTCATTAAAGTTTTTTTTTTTTTGTCAGTCATTCTGTTACAGCAAAAAGAAAAATAACCAGCACAGCAAAGACCTAGAAGCACTGGTCCATCCTGATTCCATACTTATTGTTTGAGGAATTCAGGTTGCCCATGGGTGGTATTTGCTGACCTCTCCCTGAACCTAATTTCCCTTGCAGACAGCACAACATTAGCCACTGAGTTGCTGTTTGCTTTCATGTTATTTATTCTCTGGGATGGCATTAATTTTTGTGAAACTGTCCAGAAATATGACTAAGCGCTGTACTCCCTGATTATTATTATTATTATCTTTATTGTTATTATTTTAGACATGGTCTTATTATGCATCTCTGGCTGTCCTAAAAATTTCTGTGTAGACCAGGCTGATCTTGAACTCACAGAGATATGCCTGCTTCTGCCTCAGAGTTCCTGGGATTAAAGGTGTGCTCCATCATTCTTGGCTTCCCCTAGCAATGTGGCTACAGAATGTCAATCTTTATGTTAATTCATAAATTTTCATGGGTAAATGAATATTTTCTCAGATTTAACTTGATGGGAGTTTCCCTGAAGGAAGTGACATTACAAATGAGAAGATAATTTCTTTTAAAGTATTTTATTAATTGACTCCTCCCCGAATTCCAGCCCCTGCTACCTACTCTCAACTTTGGATCCTGTTTTAGTGTTTTTTAGTGCTCTGAAGAGACACCATGAGCATGGCAACTCTTATAAATTAAAAAAAAACATTTAATTGATGGGGCGGCTTACAGTTTCAGAGGTTCAGACTATTATCAGGATGGGAACATGGTGGCCTGCAGGCAGATGTGGCCTTGGAGCTGAGAGCCCTGCATCTTGACTCAGAGGCAACAGGAAGTCAACTGGCTGTCACACTGAGAGAAGAAGCTTGGGAAAAGAGACCCCAAAGCCGGCCCCCACAGTGACACAAGTCCTCCAACAAGGCCACAGCTCCTAAAAGTGCCACTCCTTTTGGGGGCCATTTTTTTCCCAAACCATCACAATAACCCGTTGAATCCTGCTTGGGTTGCCCACCTACTCCTGGAATATGGTCGGTCGACTCACCAGGGGACCACACCCTTAAAGAAAAAAACCGGACTCTTCCCATCCTCCACCATCAACTGTCAGTGGATCCTCAGTGTTGTTAGAGTATTATTTTAAGGTGTGTTACTTTTGTTTATGTTCTGGAACATTTGTTTAACGACGCAAAACTCTGTTTGACTAAATAAAGTTCACCTGCTGTCAAGAGGCTGCGTCAGTAACCATCTTAGAGAGGAAGCTATAGGGAGGAGCCAGGTGGAGAAGGATGGGGCGAGAAACGAGCATGAGGACTTCTTTTGGGTGAGCTAGAGGAGCTGCTTGCAATTCAGTTGGCTCCAGGGGATCGGCCCACACCCTCACCAGGAAGCAAAGATCCAATGGGTGAGTGAGTCTCAGATAGGCAAGGCTGTGGTGCCTGTGCCACGAGCAAGTTTAAATGAAAGACAAGACATCTGGCTGTTTGTGCTAAGAAAAGGCGTGTGTGTGTTTTTGCAAGCCTTATATACAGACTTACAGCACAGTAGAGAAACCCCAGGTGTAAGAGTTTGTGTTTTCATATTTTCATAGTTAGAGGTTGATGCCAGTGGGGCATGGGGGGGTGCTGTAAGCCAGGACTAGAAAACAGGATGCACCCTGGTTATTGGCTGACAAGCAACTCACAGAGACCCCGTGGGGGTTGGGGACCAACACAAGGCCCCAGTGTGTCTCTTGCTGCTGCTGTGTCTTTATATGCTTGGTTCTGCATTTTTCTCTGGTATCTGGCATGGCATGAATGGGTGTGGGGAGATCTCCACTTGCCCTAACGTGGCATGATTATCTCTTGGAAATATCCCGTTTTACTGGGCATTTTCACCTGTGGGTTATTATGAAGATTATTTCCTCCTAAGCTGTGCTGTTTAAGTGAAGCAACGGTTTCATACGATAATGGTGCCAGTTTAAATAGGATTTTGATGATTGAGGGTCTTTAATAAATACGGACTGTGGTTTAGGTTAGTGATTAAGAAAGCCAGCTGAGTCCCAGAAGCTAAGTTAGATCAAGTTCTTTTAATCTTAATGTTGAGAGATGTGTTCACATTATAGGTAAAGCAAAGCTTCAAAATATGACGTAGGGTTAGATTAAGATGTTTTTTTTTTTTTGTTAATAGCTATGAGGTGAAAAACCTTGGTAAACGATCTCATTTAGAAAGGCACATGGTTGAGTGAAAGACTCGTTAAGGTCAAAGAACAAGAACAAAGCAGCCCAGGTATCATTACCTGTGCCTTTCTTGGTGGTAATCAAAGATGATGATCAATTCCTTGCACCCATTTCTGCCCTCAGCTTCCTGATATAAAAATAAGAAACAAAACAAAAACAAAAAAGTATTCATGAGTGGGTATGCATCCCGAGGATTTAAACTAGAGCTGACTGATTTTTTTTTTCTTATGTAAAAGTTTAGGTTTATGGTTCTTTTGAGATTCCTTATCAGGATACCTTTTGAGATAAGTAACAAAGCGATTGACCCTTTCTTTGTAAAAGAACTGGCAGAGAAAAATACCTTGCTTTCTTATACTCTGTTAACCTATAACAAGTTGCTTGGACATGAATGTATGATTTGTTTTTTTACCTGTAATATGTGTAATGTTTAATCATGTAAGGGATATAGAAAACTTTCTTCTTTTTACTTGTATTCATTGTAATCCTTCACTTGAAAAATAGTATATAATCACATTTTAATTATATTTTTTGAAAGATTTTGCTGGGGTATATAAGATGTAAGGAAAAAATTAGAGTTAGTTAGAAGGAAGATATTAAGAGAGACAGAAATAAAGAGAGGAAGAAGAGAGAGAGAACAGAGAAACACCCTAAGAGATTGTGTGCTTTTTCTTTTTCTTTTGCCAGCCCCAGAGAGTTAAGTTTAGCATCCCCCACTGGCCCCTGAGAATTAAGTTTTACTCCCTCAGATAGAAAAGTCAGGTTGAGTGATAGTCCGCCAACTCCGTGGTGTCCCCCTCAAACCCTGAGCTGCTGGAGGCTGGTTCTGATGGCAGTGGTAAGAGACTCTTGGGGGAAATGTCTAATTTCTTTTACCCTTGGGATTTCATGAACTTAGAGACACTTTGGCCTTTTTTTATTTTTTATTTTTGGACATCCCCAGCTGTTGGGCCCCAGCCCCCACAGGGTCTCTGTGAGTTGCTTGCCAGCCAATAACCACAAGTGCATCCTGTTTTCTAGTCCTGGCTTACAGCCCCAGCCTTGCCCCACTGGCATCAACCTCTAACTATGAAAACACAAACTTTTATACCTGGGGTTTCTCCACTGTGCTGTAAGTCTGTATATAAGGCTGCTCCCTCCTTGCAATAAATACACACACACACACACACACACACACACACACACACACACACACACACACACACACACACACACACACATACATTCTCTTAGCACAAAGGGCCAGAAGTCTTGTCTTGCATTTAAATCTCCAGGTTTTCACCTGGTAACATTAGACTTGCTCTCGGCACAGGTGCCACACCAGCTGCCCTTTCTAACTTTGCTTACCTCCCTAAGGGTATGGAAACAATTTGAACTGTCTAAATATCTGTGAGGTATAATCCAAATGATAAACAATGAACTTTTCTTACACATAAGAGTTTGTGACCCGCCAAGACGTCCAGGCGTACATTGCAGTTCTAGAGTGGATGAACTGTGTTAAACAATTACACACATCCTACGTTTATTTTGTGATTTAAATGGAGACATCATGTGTTATGTCTGGTCTCATCGTCCCTTAATGGGAAATTCTTTTACTTCTTTTTTTTTTTTATTTTGGTTTGGATCTCAGATCTGCTTTTTTGGGAGTTGATCAGAATTTCTTTCCTATCAACTCAATTAGACTTTCTCTCCTCAGGGCACCCAACTTTCATTATAAAATAACTAAACTACAACAAAAAACAACACCTAAGTTACCCTTGATGCTTAACGCCACTATCCAATCCTAATAACTTCCTATTGTTTTGTCTTCTAAAGTTCTCCAGCTTTATTTACATGTTTATTTCCCCCTGACATTTTACTTGGATTCTCATCGGAGAATCCATTTCTGTCCCACTGTCTCAAATAAACAATAGTGTATCTATCAACTAATTACATTTCAACACCTCCGGCCTTGTGGATCTTGGGATTTCTTAAATTGCTTCTGATTTCAGGGATGAGCTTTTGAAAATGTTTCTCCTGAAATTGTTTAATGATTCAACATTCACAGAAGCCGGGACTTTGGAGGGTTAAATGACTGCAACACTTGAGCTGCCTTATCGAGGTTTGGGGGAACGCACAGCCATTTTTATCTGCCTAATAAAAAAGAAAGTTTTGAAGTGTTAGATCAGCTCTAACTTGCATGGATACGTTAGGTTTCATTTGAGAAAGAACCAGGGCCACTAACATTACTAAACTATATGAATCTATTTCCATAACCAGAGCCCTATGGGATGCAGCATAGACTCAGTGTGGCCTTGGAAGTCAAAGGTTTTTAGTACGTTGACAAACAGCATCCTCCCAATCAGGAGCACCTGTCCCTGATTTCCTGAATTAACACCTGTAGAAATCTTAAGACTAAGAATCAACAAGTGTTCTTTGAGTAAACTTGCCCCGTGAATTGAAGAATGAAGCACAGGATAATGAACATGTTGAAAAGGACTCCCTATGTTTTTTTTTTTTAAATGAAGTGAAAAAGCCATCTAGAAAGATTTAATCTTGAGTATTCAAATTCACATATATATGTGCACACATATCCAGACAAAACTAGGCACAGGAAAGACACAGGAATGTGCTCACATGTATGTGTGAACACACATACAAAAAGGAAAAAATAGAAACTCAGTAAGACATAATCTTTCCCATTACTAAAATATCAGTAAATATGACCTGAAAAAGTATAAATTAATTGATTTTGTATTCTTACTGTATAGCAGAAAAGAGCCTTCACAAAAATTTGAGTGCAATACGAATGACAGATAGCTTTGTGTGGGGAAGTACAATTTAGTGAACATGAAAAACTAATTTGGGTGTAATTATCAACCCAAAGCTATCATATAAAGTCTCAGCGTAAAAGAAAATCTTTTAATTTGAAACAATCAGGCTACAGCTAAAATATCAAGCATTAGAAAATGTCATATTTAAGAGTATGTGCAAGATGTTATCTCAAACTTCAAACTACTTTAGTGATTGCTGGGTGAGAAACAATTGTCTGCAGCTTTAATTGTCACAATGTGACAGAGCTAAAATTGAAACAGAAAAAGTCCAAACCAATGCATCAAAAATAATGAAGAAAACGATACTAAGGAGAGCAGCCTTGGGTGAGGCTTCTTCAGGTGTGAAAGCTGAATTCTAGGTGAAGAGGTGTGGTAAAAATGAGGGAAAAAGGGCAAACCTGGTAATATATACCACTTGATGCCCTTGAGAAATTAACCTGTCATCAGTACTTCCAGAAGGTGCTGGTGATTCTGAATAATATACCCCAAAGTCTAGTGTTCCAATTTGCTGAAAGACATTAGAAACTGCCTCACATTCAAAGCACTCTGATTTCTCCACCCTCAATCTAATGTAGGGTCTCTCTCTGACAAAGGAAACCTTCCTACAAAACAAATGAATTGTTTTTTTTTTTCTTCGTTAGTTTTTTTTTTAATTTTAAATAGCTTGTTTTACATGTCAATCCCAGTTCCCTCTCCCTCCCCTCCTCCCGCACTCCCCTTCCACCCTCCCTCCCACCCTATTGCCACATACTTCCACATAGGGGATGTCTAGAGTCTATCATTTTACTCTTGGTAGGGTCAAGGCACTCCCCTAAGAGTCCAGGCTGAGAGAGCATCTCTCTTTGTGCTATAGGCACATGAAGACAGATTGTATACCAGGAATAGACACTGATCCACAGCTCAGAGCCCCATAGGTTGTCCAGGCCTTCTCACTGACACTCACATTTGGGGGTCCAGATCAGTCCCATTCTGGCCTCCCCACTGTCGGTCTGGGGTCCAAGAGCACTCCCCTGTTCAGATCAGCTGTCTCTGCTGGTTTTGCCAGCCCATTCTTTGCCAATTTGCTCATCATTCCTCTCTCTCTGTCACTGGGTTCCTTGGGTTCAGTTCAGTGCTTAGATGTGTGTTTGCCTCTGCTTCCATCAGTCCCAGGATGAAGGCTCCCGGATAGTTATAGACATCAAGTTCATTATCAGGAATGGGCATTCGAGGTGGTCCTTCCACTATTGCTTAGCTTGCCAATTGATGTTATACCTTTAGATCACTCGAGGTCACTCTGGTGCCTGATCTGTCTTCGATCCTATGATTCCCTCTTCCCCTATTCTACCCCCACCCCCTCAACTTCCTGTTCCCCCATGACCAACTCCCTTCCTCTT